AGCAGCTGGAGGCAGCACATACAGGTGCAGGTCTCGAACCGTGCAGAGGAGAAGAGCCATAGATCCCTGCAACAGGCCAGGGCCAAACTCTTCAGAGGCTTGCAAGCTAGGACTGAAGAAGTGCAGCAGTACGTGGAAGGCAGGCTGGACCATCGTTTGGGGGGCATCTTTTTTTCACCCAAGGGAAAAAAAAAGTTCAGTAACTGGTCTCTCCTTGCTGCATCAGAGTGGCAGCATTACACCACTGCCATACAGAACAGATCTGCAGGGGGGGAAAAAAAAGTAAAGCAGCTATTGTAGCAAAAAAAGAACCTCTATTGCACTTTTTAGTGTTTTTAAAATTTGCTACCGTTGTGAATGTCCGTGCACACCACTGTCTTTTCAGCCCTTGGGTTCCTAAGGGACTGATTCCCCCAGACTTTATAGGACAGGACTTTCCCCAAACCTTTCTGGGAGATTTGGAGACCTGTGTGCTGCAGGCAGATAAATACAATGTACATTTTATTTGAGTTTCAGCATCTTGCCACCATTGCAGTAATTTGTAAAACTTTTTTTTTCTCATTTCATTATTGTTTAGTATACTTCATCCTTTAAATATATCTGAACAACTTCTCATTTGACTGGGTTATTGCGTGAATATTTTTCTTGAGGGGAATCCTTGAACTAGGTTTGAGTGTAGCTTAGTAAGAAGACAGTAATTTTTAGTATATATTTAGAAGCCCTCTATTTAATTAGCATTGAATATCTAAAGTTACCTGCAAAAATCTGCAATTTCTTGTTTATCAAGTTATGTAAATCAGGGCTTCTATAGTTTTGCATAGCTGTAGCTGTAGGTATTTAAAAGGTCAGTCCCACATGTAATCTAGATCACTGTATTGAAAATATATAGTTGTCCTGGTTTCAGCTGGGATAGGGTTTATTTTCTTCCTAGTAGGTGCCATAGTGCTCTGGTTTGGATTTAATGCGAGAAGAATGCTGATAACACCCTGATGGTTTAGTTGTTGCTGAGCAGGGCTTACACCAGTCAAGGACTTTCAGCTTCCCCTGCTCTGCCAGGTGCACAAGAAGCTGGGAGGGGGCACAGCCAGGACAGCTGACCCCAACTGGCCAAAGGGCTATTCCATACCATATGATGTCATACCCAGTATATAAACTGGGGGGACTTGGCTGGGGGGCAGTGACCACTGCTTGGGGATGGGCTGGTCATCAGCCAGTGAGTGGTGAGCAGTTGCACTGTGCATCACTTGTTTTGTATATTCTTTTGTCATCATCGTTGTTGTTGTTTATTTATTTGTTTATTTTCTCTTCCTCTGCCATCCTATTAAGCTGGGGTTTACTTTTTTTTCCCCAATTCTCTCCCCCATCCCAGCAAGGCGGGGAGGGATAGCGAGCAGCTGGGTGATGCTGTTGCCAGCTGGGGTTAAACCACGACAATAGTGTAGCCAGAGAGAGAGAGAAAACAGTGTCTTTTGTTGTTTAGCCATTATAATTTGTAATAATTTGTAATAAAGTTCAGAAAATACTTCTAAAAATTATTAACCCAAGAACTGACCTTCTGCTTTCGTGATGTTCCGTATATATTCTTCAAGATAATGATCTAGAATGGATTTATATCCACCAGTCCTAGAGTAGTACAGAAGAAAATTATGATACTTTTTTTTTTTTTAATATATTTTAAGATTCTGGGGAATCTTAACACGATAACCATGGGTGAAGCGATGCCGGAGCTTAAGTTAGCAACCTAAAAAGTTCTGGCATAGCCTTGCTAAAATTTAATTCTGCATGGCCTGACATTTACTGGATTTGCACTTGTTTTATTACACTATGGGAACCCGCCCACTCCAGCAGTAATGCCACCGTGTTCTGGTCTCAGTAGCGACCCGAGGTCTTCAGCCGGCCGGGTGAGCGCGCCGAGTGAGGGCAGCTTCAGGGGCCTTCAGGACTGCAGGAAGCAGCAGCCGCCTGCGCTTCTCTGCCGCTACTGCCGTCACCACTGAGAGGTTTTTCAGTTTTGTGCTGCTGATTTAAAACAAGAGTTCAAAAGTTTGCCACATGATGGCACCAAAAAAGAAGGAAAAAAAAAAAAAACAAACCCAAACCAATAATAATAATCCTGGGATGGCTGCATGGCAGACTGCAGTGCTGTCGGCAGCATGGGTTAGTTGGACGGCGACGGGCAGATTGTAGTAGCTTGTGCAAATGATGATAGCGTCAGTGGCTCTTACACAGTAGTAATCTACTGACCCCCCCCATACTACTAGCCATAGCTTTTTTTTAGCTTTGTTTTAAACTTGTGATTCACACTGTACCAAACCTCCCTTCTTTTTATTTACTGACATTAATGATCTCTATGCAGAATTGCCCAGGTTTCTTGGCACTCCGTGTAGACCGCTGAGATGTGAATCGTCTCGTGGCACGGCACCTGACCCTCCTTTTCCTCTCTCTTTCTGCAGAGGATAAGTACGGCGAGCGGAGACGGCAGGCATTACTGCTACCCACACTTTACGTGTGCAGTGGACACAGAAAATATCCGCAGAGTGTTCAACGACTGTCGAGACATCATTCAAAGGATGCATCTCCGCCAGTACGAACTCTTGTGAGGGGGCGCACCGTGGAACCTGTGGTTTTAAATTCTTTGCTCCTTACTCTTTCTCTTGATACTACCCCACACAGGGTGGAGGAATATACTATAGAAATGTCAGTCTCTTCACTTTGTTTACTTTAATTATTTAACCTTAAAGCTGATTTGAAGCAAGTTTGGGTTGTTTTTCCTTCATGCTTTTTGGGACTATTTTTGTGCTTTATTTTGACATGCCACTTCTTCGTCATTCCACTAAGCCCTTCGGCTACCTCTGTTCCCTTAGGTTTTGTTTTTTTTAGCTGAACGTGACCTGCTAAATTTTTTCCAGTAGGTTAACGTCAGTTCAAACTGGTATGTCAGCTGGATGACACTAAAAGTCACACCTATCCCTCTGTGCGGGTTTCCTTTTTAACATGACATTGAAGAGTACTTGATGGGTGAAAAAAAAAAAGATTAATGCACTTTGTATCAGGTTATTAAATACTGTTGAGGAAGTAGACACACAATGTAGCAGCACCACAATATTTATTACTCTGTCACAGTTTTTAGCATTTCTGAGTTGCAGGTCAACTGATAAAGTGACCTCCTCTTTTAAGCCGTTACTGGCACAGGAAGTAGAGTAGATAATGAGAGGAACCGTGAAGACAAAGCAATTTTTCTGGGGTTTTGGAGCCAAGTGTCTCTGCACACCTCAGGCATTTGAATTACAGCTACTTTTCAGCCTGTTGCATCTGGGCAGAAACTTTACCACCCTCACTTACGTTATTTGTGCTGTCCACAAATGATCCTTTGAGTTCAGATCATTCTTGGACAACAGTCCTCTCCCTATATATATTTTTTTGTTTTACTGCTGGTTTATTATATTGTACAGACTGTAAAATGTAATATTATTTTGTACAACTTTATTGAAGAAAAATACTTGTAGAAGATCTTTGTGCCTTGATTATGGCTGTACCTGTAAAATGAGCTAAGATGTAAGTATGTTTTTGATTGCGCTGTACAGCTTGATGTCAACCTTACCTGCAGCAGTGACTGGAGGTAAGAACTTTATCTGTAGAGTTTAGGGGTTTTTTTCTGGTTTATATAAAAATGCTCTTTAGTATAAAAATTATAAATTATGCAAATTAACCACTTACCTTTCCAAGTAAGGTATTACAGTCACCGGATGTTGCAGCAAACATGCCTTTCTCTTTTGAAGTCTCAGCTTTAAAACATTGGAATTCATTCAAGTGTCCAAATCGCAACCTGGTGTTGTTTTCAATGGGAACCAAGGATTTTTTTTTTTTATTTTTTTTTTTCCTTTATATTTAGAAAAATATGTTTGGTAATTCTTTGGTCATTCATAGAACTTCACAATTGCACAGACCGATTGTGAATGTGTAAAGCACCATTATATAGAGCTCTTCAATCTTTGTACCAACAGCGGCTTTCATTGTGCAAGTAAATAGCGAGAAAGAAGAAAAAAAACAAAAAAAAACCACACAAAAAAAAGGTGTATAAACCCTTGTGTCTGGCCTAAGAGAATTACAAGATGACATTTTTATTTCTCTTTTAATAAAGAGACACATTAGAAAATTGTTTTATTTTAAATATTATAGAATCAAAACGTGTGAATATTTCTCAAACTTGAATAATTTATGCAAACGACATTCTCAAAACAAGTTGTGGTACAGTACAATATATAAAAAGCAAGAATTGCTGTAGCAATAAGGCATGTCCTTTTTAGTAACTATAACACTGCTTTATATTTTATACATAGGTGTTTTATGTCTGTGACTATATACTTTTCCTGTGTCCAAGATAACCTGTACAAATGTCTAAAATTACAGTTGCAATAACAGAAACCTAGAGAAGTGTTAGACTACATTACTTTATAGAGTGTTTTATCACACTTTGGACCATTGCCCCCCACTTCATTTTAAATTTAGGGAGAGAGAAAGAGCTAACGCGTTCCCCGCAGCGGCATACAAGTCAGCAGGTTTGATTAACGTTTTTTACCACAAGCATCGTTGGTAGGTATAAGCCCTGACCAGTTGCCTTTTTAAATTCAGACCACAGATGAATTGAGGACTTGTTCCTATTTGACGGTGAACAATGCCATTTTAGATACTATACTATGACCGTTTCCTCTTCCCCAAAATGCGTATACGTCAATAGCTGTACGTTCAATTTGCTCATCAGATATTTCCCAGAAAGCGAAAGGCTGGGTGGCCTAAACAATAGGCCATAGGCCCAAACTCACAGATTCTCTCGCTTCCCATGCCAAAGAAAGTAATACAGCGAATAGCAAAAGATAGCCGGGGTTTTTTTAAAACCACCCCCCATACTCACCCGGGCGTTCAGGCCGGAGGGCCCAGCCTCTGCAGGAATGGCAGCAGGAGCGCTGGCCCTGGTGTGAAACAGTCCCTCTGGTTTTTCCAGGGCGGGTGGGGTGAAGCGGTAGGTTTGTCGCCTCTTCCCTCCTACGCGGCACGCGAAGACGCTGAGCTCAGACCTCGCCTCCTCCGCGCTGCCCTCCAGGCAGGGGCCTGTGGCCCTGCCCTCCCCCCCGCCCCCCGGCAGAGCTAGCGCAGGGCCAAAGCGACTCCGCAGTAAAGTTACCAGAACTTGGTGGCCCCGCTGCAATCTGGGTAGCGCACGTTCCCATCCCTGCCTGTCTCTAGGCTGAGGGCCAAGGCGTAGGCTGATGTTACTGCAGCTGTATTTGACCTTCCTTCTTGCAGAAGATCGGCAATGGGAGGGCCCCTCACCACACCGATCTCTGGGATGCAATAGGGCCCTCTTTTTTTAAGCTCATCATAGCACATCTTTTTAAAACTAGCAGCTTGGGGTGTCGCCCTAATTTTCATTTAAGCAGGTTTCAAGTGTGTATCGGCAAACTGGATCCACGAGCTCCTTCCCCTTGTTGTCCGGTAGATGATATAACTGCAAATTGCAGCCAGCTAACAATTTAATGTGTCGGGAACTGGAAGATTTCTTGTCCCAAACCACAGTCCCTTGCATCTGGCATCCTAAAAAGGTTACGGGAATCTGCATCTCTCAGTGCTGATGTATCTCATTTCTGCCTGACCCTAACACACAGAAGTATGACATTAGAAGGGCCACGCAGCAATAAAACAGAGAAACGTTTCCAGTTTGCGGGACTGAGCCTCCACCGGGGTAAGACACTAGCGCAGAGAAGTGATGAGGCTATAGGATTTACATAATGTACAGTTACACTTTTAATATACATATTTGATACAAAAATTATAGCAGGAAAAGGACTCATTTGATTGTAGAATACAGTATTTTTGTACAGCATGAAACGTTCATTTCAGTTAAATTATTTATCCTGTAGTAGTCATATCAGCTGTATAGGACTTCTATGGTATATGTAAATGCAACCTGCCTTCAGACTCGCAATCAAATTAGGTCATTTGCTGGCATGAATATAGTCTGATGTTTGACTGTTCTCAGCTTTGGTATTTCAGTGACTGAATGCAGATGTCTGGCTCTTCATACTGCTTTATGCTTACTGATTAAACGCTGAGCAAAATAAAATGGTGGCGTGAGAAGCTGAAAATGAGCTAGTATCAGGAGTGCGAGCAGAGCCCCTGCTGCACAGTATATAGTAAAGACTCTGCTCTCATACGGAAGGAAGCATTTTTGGAGGGAGAAGTCAGTCGGTGTTATGCTGCCCTGGAAAAGAAATGAAGACTGTCACTTGGCTGTTACAGTGGGCTCTCAATCCGGAGTAACAAACACCACGGCTGTCAGACCTCCGACCTCTAAATTCTGTGTTGGGTGGCAAGGGTTGGGGCCACTTCCCTAGTACCAGTGCCTTCTCCATGGGGCTGAAGAGTCCGTACCTTGCGGTGCTGGGCACTGACCGGAATATTCACCAGGCCGACGCTAGCCCAGAGGCCAATCTTCCCCGTATTCCATCTAGCCTAAATAGAGAGCGGGGCTCCTCATCTGATCTGCCTTCAAGAGAAGCCTGACTTGAGCTGCTGTAAATCCACCCGGAAGGAGCCTTCCCAGGCTAACGTTCGGTTCTGTGAACGTGCCCCTTCCTCCCCCCAGGTCCTCCTCCTACCCAGTACATGCTGCAAAAAACACGTTGGCTAATCCAAATTGCGAACGTGACCGTCAGCAACAAAGAACTCCATTGGGTTTGGGCTTGACTTTGCGGTTCAAATTAAAAGTTCACAAGGGACTGAGGCTGAGTTAAAACGGTAGTGAAGACAATGCGACTTCTTTTAATTAGCCAACCTCTTGTTTTGCAGTGAAGATGCACTGTCTGGCGCGTGCAGAGAGCGCGTGTGGTTTGAAGGCAGCTACTCTCAGGAATACGGAACAAACAGAACTACTTTCAACACGAAACGTTAACCGTTGCATAAAACGAATTTAGAAGTTCGGGGTTATCTGTGTATTGAGCAGCCTCAATTCAACGGCAGTAAAAATACGTGAAAGTTTCCCCCCAAGGCACAGACTACCCAGTAAGCAGATCATAGGTTTTGCTTCCTACTCCGCGTTTCTAGGAGCTCTGTTTTATTTTTGAACTGGGAAACGAATTGATTTACCTCTTGAGGATACACCGAGCACTGGAACTGCCTGCGGGAGCGTAGCCCACACACTGTATACAATGTGACTTGGAAACGAGGCGGCAGCCTGCTGGCACGCGACAGATGTTGTCACGGTGTGAGGCGGTTAATGCACAAGTTTGAGAACCACCATCACCGTGCGAGAGTTTGAGGTGGATACGGTCTTGTTTGCACAGTCGGTAAATCAACCAAGCCAAACTAGTCCTTCCACTGTTCAGTGCACAATACTGATTATTTTTACAAGTCAATAGTTTACAATGCACCCTCTTTATAAGAAAATGTTTGATGCTTGTACCCAGATACTAATTAGATCTTTAACAGCATTGCTTTGTACCACACAGAACATGTGGCTCCCACAGATGTGCTTTATAAAGCGGATGCAGTGTACCGAGTGGGCTGGGTGGGTAGGCAATTCTTTTTATTTTTCGTTTTTACAGGTAGAATCAGTTTTAAAATACAGCTGACTGCCATGTTGATTTATTTATGAAAGTTATCTGACAAAAAATAAAAACAAAATTAAAACTTACCATGATGAAACTAGGGTTGTTTCTATTCCTCCAACTGAATGACGGGACGCTGATTTCTGGAATTTCCCCAGCATGCAGCACTTCACAGGCACTGTGCGTATGCCCACTGAGAATCAAACGGGGGTGAAACCACCATATCAGCTAGGACGCAAAGTGGTAAAGCACAAAAATTAAGTCATAACTAAAAAGAAATTGAGCTTAAACCCCCTTTTTTTCCCCCCTTCTAACAGAATGAAATGACGGCAAATCTAATTCTTAGAAAGTGTTTTGAGTAAACTTCTGTTTCCCAATAAGACGTGTGTTGCTACTGTAACATTAATCACACCCATCTGGCCCTCATCCCAAATACGTTTTGGGGCCACACAAACCAGAAGAACAAAGGCACTAGCATGCTGTTGACACCACAGGCAGAAAAACCTTGGCTTTAGGAAAGCAAGGCTTTGCTCTTTCTTTTCTAAGGGAGAATCTCACACTACCCATCTTGAGTGAAGACATTTGCACGGAAGGAAACAAATCCCCACCATCAGATTTTTATGGAATGGTTTGACTTTACGTTTTCTTGTAGGCACTAATTCAGCAGAAGCAGTGCTTTCAAAGTGCTGGGGAACAGTGGCTTCCTGCTAGGTTTGTCAATAAGCTACGCCGTACGTAAAGTACAAAATGCCAAACCGGAGCTTACAGCACTGCGCAGGCTTAAGAGCGCCGGGACTTACGGCCTGTACCTGGGAAGCCTGGCAGAACCGCGGCCGCGATCGCCACGATCCTCAGGGGAGCAGCTCTAACAAGCAGCCTCTCAAAGGCCTCATTAAAGCGGGAGCAGCTGTGGTCTGTTCGTCTCTGCCAACACCCTTTCAGAAATTTTTTAGTC